AAAAAAAAAAAAAAAAAAAAAAAAAAAAAATTATGAAACTTTGTATACAATAAATACCACTGAAAATAGCTGCTAATTACCCGAAAAGGAATCAAAAGGAAGAACAAAGTTTATTTCAAGACGGCGACCCCTTAAAGAGGAGAACACATGCCAACGAGGTATACACAAGTTGAGACCATAAATGGTTCTTTGTGATTAGGTAAAATTAACCAGAGAGGTATTTTAGCCAAAATGGTGAACAACACAAGTTAACCTATCACAACTGCTATTAGAAACTGAAAATAAATTGTGCCTGCCCCAAATAATGGCATGGCCGTCAAACACAAAGGACCATTTCTCGATTTATGCGTGTTATAGGGGTCATGCTAATCTTCTCTGTATAGTTTCAATTTTATCGGACGTTCGCGAAGGGACTGGTTAAACGCAAAGGACACCACCGCATAAATGCGTGACAGATACTGATGATGACAAGAGTTGGTGAATTATGCATATTAAGAATTCAAAACTACAGGCGTCGTCACTTGCCGCTTTCCGTCTGACCAAACTATCTTCCCCTCCACAACACCTTTCGGCAATTCTGTTGCGGTTATAATCACCCGGTAACTTTGCTTTTGATCACCATTGCTTTTAAAATCCATCCTCGTCGGATCTACCGTCAGATTCACCGCTCTAGGATTGGTCACCGTCACAGTGTAACTAGCATCATCTTCACCAACATATGTCACGGTCCCTTTAATAGCGATATCACGATTCATAAAATTAAACGTGATGGCTGGATAATTCAGATCACACGGCATTTTTTTGGTGCAATTGTATTCGCCGCTGGTTATATTTTGGATGTCATAACTTGAGGCGCACAGGAAATCCACATAATCTTGCGGGGTGATATCATAGACTAATCCTGGATCAAGGGCTTTACTCGGGTTAATGTGACCCGCGCCCATATCGGAGGTTGTAGACTGGGTCAAATCATCATCATTGATTATGGGTTTGCCATCATTGGCTATGGTATAAGCAGTGGTCATGATGGCGGAGCGGATCATGGCTGGGGACCAGTCAGCGTGGGCTCCCTTCAAGAGAGCAGCCAGCCCGGACACGTGTGCGCAGGCCATGGATGTACCCGAGACAATTTTGAAGTCGACACTTTCTGACCATGCTGCGAGGATGTTTACACCTAGCGCCAACACGTCAGGCTTCATAACAAATGGTGAAAGAGGATTAGGGCCTCTGGAGGAGAAAGAAGGTACCACTGGAGCTGGTTGGATCCCGAGTTCCACATCGGGGAATACGATCGTGGCTTTTATAACAGTGTTTCTTTTTTCCTTGATAATGTCACGGATCATGTTCCAGTCAGACTTTTTGATGACGAGACCAGGGATCGCAAATTGTTCGGCATTGAGGTATGTCTTGGGTGCCACCAAACCAGCACCTCCGGCGTTTTTCACAATCTCAGTGGCTTTGCTGATGTCATCCTCGTTGCAGACCACAATCTTACCGGAAAAGCTCTCGTCCAACCACTGACAACTCCCTCCGTATGCAAGGGGCAGAAAAAATGAGGGATCTATGGGGGGCCCGCTGTAAAGCGAAGCCCCGTTCATCCGCGTCCCGTATTCAAGTACAAGATCAGCCGAGAACAAACGGTCGATCGTGCCGGCACCGACAGTCGTCAACCACGGGGCAACATTCATTACACTGTATTCAGCAGGACCGTAGTTCCCGGCGGATGCAATGACCGAAACACCCCCCAACATGGCACCAAACCCCCCAAACGCGACGGGGTCTTTGTCATACTTATCATTAAAAAATGGGGCCGCAATGGAGGCGGGAGATTATGTCAACCCCATCCTTCACCGCCTGATCAATGCCACCGAGAACGTCTTTACCCTTGCAGCCATCATCATTGCATACTTGATACAATGCAATCCGTGCCTTGGGCGCAACTCCGACCGCCGTGCCGCTCGCGTTTTCAAAATAAAACACATTCATGACAACCCTTCCAGCAGCCGTGGACGCCGTATGCGTGCCGTGGCTCACGCTCGTTCCCGTTTGATTGGTGAAGGTCCTAGCGCCAATGAGTTTGTTGTTGCACCAAATCCTTTCCATCGCGCACATTGTTTGTTATGTTTTTGTGCTTATTTTTATATGTATATATGTGTTTCCAAGTCATTTTTAGGTTCATTTTAGGGTCGAACGGTCCATTTTATCGTTTTCTGTGTGTTTTTGTGTTTTTCGTTTCATTTTGTATTTTGGCGTACTTTTCCGTGTTTTGGTT